CCCCAATTTCAAAGCTGCATTCTTCTGCAGGTCTCTAGGGCAATCTCTAGGATCACTCCCCGGAAACTCGTTGGGGTACAACTGAATGCTGAAAGGAAAGAACACCTGAAGAACAGGGCAGAAATCCACCCCAGCGATCAAATTATTGATCTCTGTCGACCAGAAGTCATGGCTAAAAATGACGAGGGCGTTGTCAATGCCCTGGGCTTTCCGAAGTGAGTCCAGTAGCAGTCTGAGGTATTCCGGCCGGTTATGCACCTGGACCACCAGCACCAGCTCCCGGGGAGTCCAGGTGCCAGCCTTATCTACATTCCTCAGCGTCTGATCAAAGTTCAGCTGGTACAGGAGGGACCGGTATCGCAGCGTAAGGTTGTCCGCCTCCGGCTGCGGGACCGCGGGGACCAGTGGAGCCGCCGACTCGTTGGAAACCCTGCGGATGCCCACCGACACCGCGGGATGGTCCCCACCCCGGCCTCCCGCGCCCCGCGCGGGCTCGACGTCCAGCAACGGCGGGGCAAGGGCTTCGTTCTTCCTTTGTCGCCCATTGCTGCTCCAGAGGACGAAGCCGCAGGCTGCCACCACAAGCATCAGAATTAGCACCTTCCGTTTGTAGATGCGGAACCTCATGGTCTCCAGAGCCGAGGGCACGGGCGGGAGGGCGCGGAAAGGAGCTGTCGGCCTCTGCAAGGAAGGGGCGGGAGGGCGATCGCCCCGGCCTGTGGTGGTAGGAACTGGCCCCCGCGGCTGCCCCGCTAACTCATCTCGGGCCTCGGGGGTCCTGGGGCTCGAAGGCTCTCAGCTGCCCCAAGCCACCCGGGATCCGCACATCTTCGCCCGGCAGCTGCAGCGGCCCCGCCGCTAGGAGCCGCGGCTCGGCGTCTTCTCGGTCCTCTCCATTCAGCACCACTGGTCCCGGAAGAAGCCCAGCCGCAAGCCCACCGCACCCCAGCTTCGTTACCTGCGCCTCCAGCGGCCCTGTGTCCTCTGCGCTCTCATCCTCACTCGGGTCCCGGACGACCAAGACTGAGCGACGACGCAGCCTCGCCCCACTACCGCGGCGAYCGTTCTGACAACCCGGTACTGGCCCGCGGAGCGCCACGGCCCTTTGGCCCACACCCCTTGGGCCCTCCCCATAGGCCATTGGTTGGCGCTTYCCAGACGCGTCCGGAGGCGACTGGCCGTAGTAGCCAGCTGCCTATTGGCTCGCAGTCCTGTCGCTCAAGTTCAGTTCCTACTTCCGCTCCATTCCTCCCTTTCCTGTAAGGCGCGAGCGTGGCGAGGCGAGGTCTGCGGCCGCGAGATCTCCGGGTAAGTTAGCATCTGAACTGTAGCGGTTTAAACACAAGTCTCCATTGCTCAGAACCCGGGGAAGGACCTTGTAAGAAAGGGAAGGCGAGACCCGCTGCTTTGGCTTGGGTGAGTTTAAGAATTGGTTTCTCTGGTCAGGAAAGGTGTGTAGGCATGGCGGCTACTGGGCCTCGAGGCACGCCGCCTGGCTAAGGACACGTCAGCCCTGAGGGATGCTGACGGGTGACGGTGCTTAGGAGGGAAATCGTGAAACCAGACCGGTGTGATTCTTGGAGAAGGAACAGGGCGGATCGTAGCAGAAGCTACTATATCCCGCATTGCATCAGTCACCCGGGAGCTGGAAAATGGAGGAAGTGGGGGGGAGGGAGTCGTAAGGAAATTCTTGTCTTTACCCTCTTTGGAAGAAAATTGGGTAAACACTGCATTTTTCTTTCTGGGCAGCACACTTTCTATAGACAACTGTGTGTACTGATTACTCCCAGTGCCGATGCTCGTGTGTTACTAGTGAGTAGCTCTATAAATAATCCAGTAATTTAATTATGCATAAGGTATTGGGCATTGAATCCAGGGGCTCGCACGTTTGGCAAGCGCTGTTCCACCAAGCTGCATTCCCAACCTTGTCCAATAATTTTTAAACATTCTAAAAGTGTGCACTTGTATGTACAGTTATCCATGGAGAAAATGAGTATTTGTTAAATTTATACATTACTGATTTATGAATGCTGTTTTTTTTTCTGTAAATATTTGTATAAAACGTCTCACTTTTCAAAATGTTTAATGTGTGGTACATTAAATACTTTATTACAGTTTTCATCGCGTAGACACCTCTGCTGTAAAGATGGTCAATGTACCTAAAACTCGAAGGACTTTCTGTAAAAAGTGTGGCAAGCACCAGCCTCACAAAGTGACCCAGTATAAGAAGGGCAAGGATTCCCTTTACGCCCAAGGAAAGAGGCGCTATGATCGGAAGCAGAGTGGATATGGTGGGCAGACAAAGCCAATTTTCCGCAAGAAGGCTAAAACCACGAAGAAGATTGTTCTAAGACTTGAATGCGTTGAACCAAACTGCAGATCCAAGAGGATGCTGGCCATCAAGAGATGCAAGCATTTNGGGGGGGGGAGGGAGTCGTAAGGAAATTCTTGTCTTTACCCTCTTTGGAAGAAAATTGGGTAAACACTGCATTTTTCTTTCTGGGCAGCACACTTTCTATAGACAACTGTGTGTACTGATTACTCCCAGTGCCGATGCTCGTGTGTTACTAGTGAGTAGCTCTATAAATAATCCAGTAATTTAATTATGCATAAGGTATTGGGCATTGAATCCAGGGGCTCGCACGTTTGGCAAGCGCTGTTCCACCAAGCTGCATTCCCAACCTTGTCCAATAATTTTAAACATTCTAAAAGTGTGCACTTGTATGTACAGTTATCCATGGAGAAAATGAGTATTTGTTAAATTTATACATTACTGATTTATGAATGCTGTTTTTTTTCTGTAAATATTTGTATAAAACGTCTCACTTTTCAAAATGTTTAATGTGTGGTACATTAAATACTTTATTACAGTTTTCATCGCGTAGACACCTCTGCTGTAAAGATGGTCAATGTACCTAAAACTCGAAGGACTTTCTGTAAAAAGTGTGGCAAGCACCAGCCTCACAAAGTGACCCAGTATAAGAAGGGCAAGGATTCCCTTTACGCCCAAGGAAAGAGGCGTTATGATCGGAAGCAGAGTGGCTATGGTGGGCAGACAAAGCCAATTTTCCGCAAGAAGGCTAAAACCACGAAGAAGATTGTTCTAAGACTTGAATGCGTTGAACCAAACTGCAGATCCAAGAGGATGCTGGCCATCAAGAGATGCAAGCATTTCGAACTGGGAGGAGACAAGAAGAGAAAGGGCCAAGTGATCCAGTTTTAAACTTTTTGATTTTTTTTTTCCCATTTAATTTTGATTCGAAAATACTGAAACTAGAAAAATTACCTATAGGGAAATAAATGACAATTATATAATCATACCTAAACCTTTTGTGTGTGTGTGTGTGTTTACTCAGAATTGCATGTTTAATGTAGTTATCACTTTAGAATGTGGTTCTTAATTTAAATTCTTTGAAAGTGAATTAAGGTTTATCCTCTTCTGAAATTCTATTTAAAATTAGTTCTATGAATTGGAATTTTGTGTTTATAAGAAAATCCTGCCTTGAATTTTACAACCAGGTTATAGACATAAGTCATGTCTTAGGGGAAAATGCACAGAGTACTATTTCCTTCTTTGTTTCTGGTCAATTCACATATACAGTAGCCATCCATTATCAATTGGGGTTACTTACAAGATCTCTGGTACTCTTATAGTACTGAAACCAAAGKTTTTTTTCATTCATATATAGAGGATGAAGCTTAATTCAAAAGTTTGGCATAATAGTAAGAATAAAAATTATGATTGTGTTTACAGGGTTGAGGCCTACCAGGAAACTGAGGCAGCAAGAACTCCCTTAGAACCCTGATGCTCATGACAAAGTCAGATTTCAGATGTATTGCTCAGAGTAACAGGAATAATTTATTAGAAGGGATACACTCAAGGGAGAAAGTGGGTTTTCAGAGGAAAGGGACAGTGTGCTTCTATACTCCAGTTTAAGTTTAAAACAAACACAATACCTTTGTTTTTATGTGGTGCTGAAGATTAAACCCAGTACCTCACACATGCAAGACAGATGCTATACCAACTGAGCTACAACACCAGCCCTCCTATACTCCAGTTTTATTGGGGACTTCCATAAGAGTCCTGACCAGGTCCACCTCATCACTTTTGACTGGCATTAGGATGATATCAGATTTTCAAGTCCCCCTTCCCCCCATTGCCATGAAACTACACTTTGGCCCATGCTGACTTATATATAATTCTTAATTATAGATCATTACAGATAGAGGAATTCTTCCTGAGTTTCAGGATCTGGCCTATGAAAAGGGTCACATAATCTCCCCCTTCAGGGTAGCTTGAATTACTCTTACGGACATTATTTTGGGCCCTCATTTCTGCAGTATATGACATACTGCAGGTAACAGGTAACTTTGCTAACGAATATGATATATCCTGACCACTTAAAGCCAGGTAGGGCTGCAGGTAAATTATTCCTTGGAAAAGAAAGCATGTGGGAGTCAGCACAGTGGGCCCATTTTATAGAATTATTCCCTTAACCTCCAGTCCTCTTATCAGTTAACACTGTAATAAAATTACCAAGATTTTCTCTGGCACTTAGGGGCCATTGAGAAAATAAGGGTTATTTGGACATAARCATTGTGACAGTTGTATGATATAACAGATAACTAAGAATAATAGGAATTATACACTGTGGATACACTGGACAAAGCATGAGTCCAGTCTTGGGTATAAAATTTCACCATTGCTAATCAGAGTTGCTTGCAATTTAAAAYTTAATGAAAATTATTTCTGATATTTTCCATTTAATRTTTTCAGAATGCAGTTTGACATGGTAACAGACCATGTAAAAGAGGATGTTGTATATGTTGGGTGAATTCATAATAAAAAGTAAAGTTTTTTTGCTAGAATTCAAATTGCCACTAGCAATACAAACTTACTTTTATTTATTTATTTAGTACTGGCGATTGAACTCCAGGGCACTCGACCACTGAGCCACATCCCCAGCCCTATTTTGTATTTTATTTAGAGACAGGGTCTCACCGAGTTGCTTGGCGCCTCACAGTTGCTGAGGCTGGCTTTGAACTTGTRATTCTCCTGGCTCTGCCTCCCAAGAGGCTGAGATTACAGTTGTGTGCCACTGCACCTGGCACATACTTACATTTTCATTCAATTATTCCTCAATCAGTATCTGGTCTCAGAGTCAGCTCTGAGAAGAAACTGTTTTAATGGTCACATCTGAATGAAGTTTCTAATAAGAAAATGTCCTAACAGCCAGGTGCAGTAGTGCATGTCTGTACTCCAAGTGACTTGGGAAGCTGGGGCAGGAGTGTTGCAAGTTCAAGACCAGCCTCAGAAACAGTGAGACTCTGTCTCAAAAAATAAAAAGGACTGGGGATGTAGCTCAGGGGTGTAGTTCCCCTGGTACCTAAAAAAAAAAAAAAATTAACATTTGAAATAGAATCACTCATAAATATTGGATTTTAAGAGGGGAAAAAACGCCCAAARTGAGAAATATTTTAGGAAAATGAAGGAGTAATTCTCAAAGAGTCTTCCAGATATAAGTGTGGTACTACATGCCTGTAAATCCAGTGACTAAAGCAGGAGGATGGCAAGTTTGAGGCCAGCCTGAACAATTATGCAAGACCCTGCTTCAAAATAAAAGTAAAAAAGGTGGGGGTAGAGCTCAGTGACATCCCTGGGTTAAATCCCCATGTGAGTATGGCCTTAGACCTGAGCCTAAGCAACTCCATTTTAAAAACTCCAGTTTGAAACCTGCAGTCTCACCAGGGACACACACCCACAGAGCCCTCCAGTAAGGCTTCAAACAAGTTACTTCCCCTCACCCTGATAAACCCCTGGCAGGCTGTCCTCACCTGGTAAGAGGGAAAGGCAAAAAGATCAGGGTGGAGATCACCAGACCTAATGTTTCTCACCCCAGTGTAAATGATATCATGGAGAAATCTGGTGGTAGTTGATAAGGATTGAAAGGGGGGTCAATTGATGTCATCTTAATCCTGAGGAGTGGGCCAGGGGTTTAGAGTACTTTTGAAGGTAATTCTTACAGGTACAAATAATTTTTTTTTTTAATCAGAGATCGAACCCAGGGGCACTTAACCAGTCCCATTTTTGTCTATGCATCTCATGACCTATCCTGAGGAATTTGATTATCCCCAAGAGTGAATGCAGRTTTTCCTGATAACAACATTTTCCCATTTTATGGAGCAACTCATTTCCATATACTGCTGAAAATACTCCAGCGTTAG